GCTGGAGGTGGACCGCGAGGCCGAGGCGGCCGAGATCAAGCGCTCCTACCTCAGGCTAACGACGAGATGCAGCAAGACTGGCAGACTAAGAGTGCACCTAGCGCTCCTACCTCACGCTAATGATGAGAATAGCAATGGTGATGGCAAGACTGGTAGAATTAATTAATTAATTAATTCATTAATTCATTAATAAAAGCGCGCCCCACTGCTTCTAAGGATGGCACTGCTCAAACATGATTATTCGCTACAAATGATGGTAGAATAATACATCAAGCGCTCCAGCCTGAGGCTGATCCGCCGCATGCTCCTCCCGACAAGAACCCGGACGAGTACCATGCCCCCACAGTACCGAATCCAGTGTGGGTTCAGTCGCGTGGGCGGTGCGGTAGGCTCGCCCGCCGCATGCACCCCGACAAGAACCCGGACGACCCCGAGGCGCAGCAGAAGTTCCAAAAGCTGGGCGAGGCGTACCAGGTGCCTCGGAGATATGGGGAGATATGGAGAGATATGGTGGGAGATATGGAAGGAGAGCAAAAGTTGCAAAAGCTGGGCGAGGCGTACCAGGTGCCATATCTGGGGTGGGGGGGTATGGGGAGATATGGGGAGATATGGCGAGGCGTACGAGGCGATCCCCAACGAGGGGGCGCGCGCGCCTCGAAAGCAGAGATCGGTGAGGCCGCCAATTTCTTTTTTTTCAGGTGCTGTCCAACGAGGAAACGCGCGCGCGGTACGACGAGGGCGGCAAGGAGGGCCTCGACGGCGCGCAGCAAGGCACCACTACGAAGCCGCGAGACGCGAGACGCCCCGCCCGCGCGCGCACGCGCGCGCCCGAGAGCCCCCTCTCCCTACACCACAGGCATGATGGACCCGTCGATGTTTTACTCCATCATCTTCGGCTCGGAGGGCTTCGAGGCCTTCGTGGGCGAGCTGCAGGAGGGCCATATCTCCCCATATCTCCCCACATCTCCCCACATCTCCCCTTCGTGGGCGAGCTGCAGGAGGGCCATATCTCCCCATATCTCCCCACATCTCCCCACATCTCCCCTTCGTGAGGCGAGCTGCAGGAGGGCCATATCTCCCCATATCTCCC